CCCGCGGGCACCCCCGGTGGGCGGCCCGTCCCACCCCCCGAGTCGGAGCGGGGTCGGCCCCGGACGGGACGGCCGGGGCTGGAGCGTCCTCGGGGGTGGGGGTGCCGCCGCCCCTGCGGGCAGCCCGCTGAAGTGCCTCACCCCACCCACCCCACCCCCGGTAAAAACGTGCTTTCTAAAGTTTAAGTGGCTTTTCCTGCGGTTCAGCTTGTGCCCAGCGCCTCGCTCCCGTCGCTGGGTACCGCTAGAAGAGCCAGGCTCCCTCTGACGTGCTCCTCCGTCAGGTATTCGTGCACGTTGGTAAGATGCCCACTCACACACATCTGCAGAAGACGAAGCGGCTCCCGGCCCGCCACAGCCTGCCCTGCCGTCCTTCTCTGCCACAAAACCTGCCATAGTGGAGGGCCATGGCAGGGTACCCTCGCTCTTTTAGGTAAGAAAGGTGCAGGAGCTGCTGGGGTGCTCCGAGCGCTGTAGTTCATAGGATTACAAGATAACTCGGGAGGGGACCACAGGAGGTCTCCACTCCAAGCCCTGCCCGAAGCACAGCCAGCTCTGGGCTCAGACCAGGCTGCTCAGGACCTTATCCACTTGGGACTTGATACCCTCCAAGGGTGCAGATGGCACAAGCTGTCTGGGCCCCGGCTCCACTGCTGGGCTGTCCTTGTGGGGAAAACGTTTCCTCCTTAGAGACACTCTGAATTTCTGCTGTTTCAGCTGTGCTGCTGCCTCTCACCCTCCCGCCGTGCATGCCTGTGAAGAGCCCGGCTGCATCTCCTCCATCCCCTCCTGTCCATACCACGGCCACTGTTGGGTGTTCCCAGTCGCCCCTCTTCCCGGCTGAACCAGCCCCGGCCCTGCAGCCTCTCCTTGCAGGACAAGAGCTCCAGCCCCACCATCTCCATGGCCTCCCCTCACCTCCCACCAGTTTGTCAGTGTCATTCCTGTACTTGGGACCCAAACTGGAGGCAGCACCCAGACAGGGGACAGTCCCTGCCCTCCCCTGGCTCTTGGGGCCATGTCCTGCTCACACCACCCCAGGCACCGCTGGCCCTCATTACTGCCCAAACACATGGATGGCACACAGATGGCTCCGGTTCAGTTCACTGCCTACCAGTGCCCAGGGCTGTCCCCCAGAGCTGCACCCCAGCACCCCCAGCCCCAGCCTGCACTTCTGCAGGGCCCTGCCTTCCAGCTGCTGGGCTCAACATCTGCCCTTGTTGAATTTCCTGAGTTCCATGTTGGCCCCTGTCCATGTTGCCCTCAATGGTAGTCCTGCCACAGCATATCTACTGGTCCACACATCTGGTATCATCTGGAGACTTGACATGCGTGCCCTTTGTTCCCTCTTCTGGGTCTGGCTAAGCCCATGTAACATGGTCTAAAGACCCCTACCCTCCCTATTCAATGGTTTTGCATTCATCTTAACCTTGCTTGCTTCAGCAGTTGTTGTGCAACACTGTTTCCCATTGAAATGTCTGGGAAAACCTAGCTGTCCAGAGGATTCCTCAGTCTATCCCAAGGTAAATTCACTTCAGCCATGCTTTTGAATCATCACATAAACTAATCAGGTACAGTGAGAAATTTGAACAACTGACTTCCTGAAAACATCCTTCAAAATTACAAGAGGATGTAGCATGTCAGAACCTTTTTGGTGGACTACTCCAATACCACTTTCTACCAATCCACAGGCTCCAGGGAAACAGGAATGAGCATCAATCCATGGAGACCTGCATTTCAACAAAAAAAATGTTTTAATTCATGCTAGCTAAAGTCTTCTTAGTTATAACATGTAGTCATATTTCCTAATATTCTCAGACTCTGTATTAAGATTTGCTTCTCATGGAAATGGGTATTCCAAGTACAATCACTGGCTTTAATAATACATCATTTGGTAAGGCTATGTCAGGGAAGTACTAAGAATAGTGCAGTACAGCTACATAGGGTTTTTCTTCAGCCTTTGTAAGCAAATGTGTTGTTTGCACAGCAGCCCACACAGGCTGTTTCAGTTTTTTGGCCTTTATTTTTCATAATGTTAGCAAATTTTGGCATACATCAAAAGCCTTAACGGGTTTCTAAGCAAAGTCACTTGAAGTCAGGGAAAGATCTCTTACAGTCACTGAGTTTTTAAATTCCTGAATAACTGTGATGTAACCTCTTAAGATACTTTACATATTACCATTCCTGAATCCCACGTAGCATCTAGAAGTTTTCCCCTTAAATTGACATAGGCACTGCATCTAGTCAACTGTGCTAACAGCCCTGGCAATATCTTGTGTGACCGCTCCAGCCCTCACCCATTTCACATTTTGCCCGTGAAGATTTTTGGCTGACAGACTTTATTGTGTTTGGGGGAGAGGAGGTTTATAATATCCAATTAGCCAGGTAAGTGATCTGCATCTTCAATAATGACTCCCAAATGTATTTGATTTGGAAGGTGTTAGTTTTGTACCTAGAAGAATAGACTCTGTATTCTCATGGGGAGGACATGCTTGCTAGCTTTGGAGAACAAAACAGTGAATGGTTTATAGAAGGTCCTGTAACCTGCATAAAGTTATTCAATATTTTTCTTTTATTCCTTGTGCATAAATGACAGGTCCTTAATTTCAGCCACTCCATTGTAGGAGGACTAGAGTGGCACCTACCTTGGAGATAACCATTGGCAACTTAATTTTAATTTGCAATTCTTTCAATTTCCCCCAAAACATACTAATATTTGGATCCCTCATTCATGCGTTTGCACAGTGACATTCCCAGGTTTCTTGCTCAGATAGTTAGATTACACAAAATTTGCTGCATAGTTCACTTTCCAAAAACTCCTTATTCCCTTTCCTTTCCTGTAGGAGCTAGTATACTGGCAGTGCCCTGAACTCTGCTCTGTCATTCACCTGTACTTGTTGTTGTGTTCACAATACTTCTGTAGTACAGAATTTACAGCTGTTCCTTTAGCTTTTGCCTCAGAGCCAACAATCATAGAATCACAGAATCATAGAATGGTTTGGGTTGGAAGGGACCTTAAAGATCATCTAGTTCCAACGCCCCCCCACCACAGGCAGGGACACCCTCCACTAGACCAGGTTGCTCAAAGCCCCATCCAACCTGACCCTGAACACTTCCAGGGATGGGGCATCCACACCCTCTCTGGGCAACCTGTGCCAGTGCCTCACCACCCTCACAGTAAAGAACTTCTTCCTTACGTCTAATCTAAACCTACCCTCTTTCAGTTTAAAGCCATCACCCCTTGTCCTATCACTACATGCCCTTGTAAAAAGTCCCTCTCCAGCTTTCTTGTAGGCCCCCTTTAGGAAGGGCCTACTGGAAGACTGCTGACTGCTATAAGGTCTCCCTGGAGCCTTCTCTTCTCCAGGCTGAACAACCCCAACTCTCTCAGCCTGTCCTCATAGGAGAGGTGCTCCAAACCCCTGATCATCTTCATGGCCCTCCTCTGGACTCATTCCAACAGATCCATGTCCTTCTTATTTTGGGGGCCCCAGAGCTGAATGCAGTACTCCAGGTGGGATCTTGATGAGAGCAGAGTAGAGGGGGAGAATCACCTCCCTCGACCTGCTGGTCACACTTCTTTTGATGCAGCCCATGATGCCGTTGGCTTTCTGGGCTGCAAGCACACATTGCTGGGTCATTGTGAGCTTCTTGTCAACCAACACCCCCAAGTCCTTCTCCTCAGGGCTGCTCTCAACCCATTCTCCACCCAGCCTGTATTTATGCTTGGGATTGCCCTGACCCATGTGCAGGACCTTGCATTTGGCCTTGTTGAACTTCATGAGGTTCACA